TCACTCTATCAATCACCTGGTTGAGGCTCTTCCTTTGTAACTCCATTTTAAAATAAAATTACAGAGATTCACGGAAGGAGAGGATGACAAGATTTTTTTATAAAGTGACTGTAGTGGAATTGTGCAGGATAAGGCAAGCTGCTGATCTGTTGTTGTTCATAGGAGCACTGTTGAGTTGAGTCATAGTCAGCTTGACAACACCTACCAGCAACATTTATGTCATGCTTATTAGTTGAAACACCAGATGAATTTACTGTCTATCCCAAGTGAATTCCATGCTGAATGAGTAAAAGACATTTATGTAATAACAGAAAATCTAAGATCTGTACTTAAAGTTGACCCATAACATTTTTCTTTTTAGTTTCTTAGAAATTGAAAATGTTTTACTTTTCATCGTGAAGAGACATTAGGCAACTTCTGTGCACCTTTGGGGGAAATTGAGAGTTTTAGTCTTGGTCGCTTGTAGAGTATCTGCCAGGCCAACCTTCTGTTTGCTTTCTTGGGTTTTTAAAATTGGTTTCCATATGTATCATCTTTGGTATATATACTCTGTGTTTTATACAATCATTCCTATACATTATATTTCATATAATTAATTACCATTGCTCTAAGCCTATTGGTACCCCATCTTTTCCTATGTTCATCCTCTCTTGAGAAAACAAATGGTAAGACTGTGGCACTTGAGACATCATTGCCATGTGTCTATCTGTGTTTCATTGACTATGCAAAGGCATTTGACTGTGTGGATCACAACAAACTGTGGCTAAATTCTGAGAATGGGAATCCTGGAACACTTAATTGTGCTTATGCGAAACCTATGCTCAGACCAGGAAGCAGTTTTCAAAACAGAGCAAGGAAACATTGCATGGTTCAAAATGAGGAAAGGCGTGCATCAGGGATGAGTCCTGTCTCCATACCTTCTCAGCCTATCTGCAGAACAGATCATTTGGGAGGGTGGGCTTTTTGAGGAGGATTGTGGCATCAGGATTGGAGGAAGACTACTCAACAGCCTGCATTATACAGATGACATACCCTTGCTTGCTGAAAGTGAGGAGCACCTGAAGGTCTTGCTGCAGAAGGTCAAGAACTGTAGTCTTCAATATGAATTAAAGCTCAACTTCAAGAAGACAAAGATTCTCACCATTGAGCCAATTGGCAGCATCATGATGGATGGAGAAGAGATAGAGATTGTTA